TCTACTGGAACAAACAAAGGACCACTAAATACTGTAACATAAAATGCGGCAGAAACCTATAAAGTTCTAATAACTCGTTGTAGAGTTATAATAATTGGCTTTGAAACAAAAAATTCATAGAGAGAGAGAGAGAGAGAGAGGGAGAGAGAGAGATTGAGGACAGAATTTGCATATTTTTTTATTCATCGGTGTAGAATAGGGTTGGAGCTGAACCAAGTAGCTCGGTTCGAGTTCGCGAGCTACTTGGTCAGCAGCTCGAGCTCGAGCTTGGTTGACCGAGCTCGAACTGCTCGTTAGAGCTATCGAGTCGAGTTCGATCTTGGAAATATAATACTCGAGAGCTTGACAAGCTCTATCGAGTTTTTTATAATATATATTTTAATTTTGATTATTGTGAAATGTCAATAATGTCTTTTATTTAAAATTATATATAAAATATTAATTTTTATTACTTGAGCTTGATTAGGCTTAATTGAACTCGAATAAGCTCGATTGAGCTTGATTTGAATTAATTACATTTAATTAAACTCAAGCTCGAGTTCCATAAATTGAGGTCGAGCTCGAATTTTAAAAGCTTGACGAGCTCGAGCTCGAGCTTAGTTATTTTGCCTCGAGCCGAGCTTGAGTAGTGCACTACTCGAGCTCGACTTGACTCGACAGCACCCCTAGTGTAGAGATGAGTTCTGAGTTCTTCCTTTCCTGATCTTCAAGAACTGGTGATTGTGATTCTAAACTTGATGATGGAGATGAGTTAAGTCTTACATGACGAAAATTGTGTTACTCTCCTTTGCACCACCCTACGCTCTAGCTTAAAAAGGATGAGCTAATTTTTCAATTCGTGGCTCTACAACAAAAAGGATATTTCTACTACTAGTTTTCATGGGTTCATTTTTATTTTGTCTGTAGGCACTCTCCTTGGAAAAGGACGCACATCTTTACAGTTTACTGGATGGAGATGCACATGGCAGCACTAATATTTGGCTGAAATTAATGAGCCCACTAACATTAGCATTAAAATGGAACAGCTTTTCGCATCCACTACGTTAAAAGAGTATTAACATCCACCATGTAAACTAGTACAAGCTTGGCTACTGTTTCAAAAAGAAAACATTTGGGGTTGCTGTCAAATTTTTGTCATCCAAATGGAATACCTAATAAACAATTGACCATAATACAGGATAGCCTGAATAAGAAGCAGTTGGTAGAATTTTTCTACAGAGCCCCGATTTTTGGAAGTTGGCCATCGCCTAAATTAAGTGATTCTGCGGAGCATGGCTCGCCCTTCATCGATATAAAATCTCCCCTTTCTCTTCTTTCCGCGAGGAAAACTATACCGACTTTTGCCGATTCTAAACACATGTATACATGAAATTGAAATACTTTACTTGCATTGCAAAAGAGTTTGATGCTGGGTTTCATATTACTGTCCAGACGTTGGAAATTGGACCACGTGACTTCCCGAGCATTCAAAACAAAATACGTATGAAAATGGAACTCAGGACCACTGTGGTCCGATTTCGAATTTAAGGTCTACCCGGAATTTGTCCCAACCTTCGTATCCATTAACAGCTTAAAAAACGAAAGAGAAGCATGGTGTCATTTATCATTTTGCAGGTTGCTCCGGGTTGAGGGTGGTGGGGTGGGGTTAACTATAGCATTAAAAGCTTTAAGGTTGGAATTTGCCCCAACCTTCGTACCCATAAAAAAAGCTTATAAACGAAAGAGAAGCATGGTGTCATTTATCATTCGCAAAAGCAATGCTAGCAGAATTCGAAGACGTCAAGGCAGTGTCCTGAGTTATATTCATCTACCCTCTCTTTAGTCATCTCATCATAACATAACATTGAATTTTGCCACAAGCGGTCCAGTTTGATTTCTATCGACGCAGACTTTTTCGAGAGAGAGAGAGAGAGGCAAACTTCAAAGTACAATTGAGAAGTCATTCATCTGCATGCCAAATTGGTAATGTTTCCAGTCGACAGTGGCTGAGTTGTTATGGACCTTCATGACAATTTAATACACAACTCTACCTAATTTGTTGAGCTCTCAGAAACACGGATATACATACATACATATATATATATATATATACACACACATCCATGCGTGTAAAATGGACGTACGTACGTACGTACCATCGATACAACTACCGTGATGGATACGACTTCAATTTATTAACCGAAGATGTCCGTCGCGTTATATGATGACAGTGACGCTGTATTTCTTCATTGAAGACTATGGTTCAAAGTCACGGTCGCGGTCGCGGTCGCGGCCCGGAACGTTTCACATCGGTTTCGGCAGATCAGTCGCGGTCTCGGTGAGACGCAAATTTTAAAGTATTTAATATTCTAAAAATTGTTAATAATGTAAAAATGTATGCTAAATAAAAATAATTAAAAAATAGAAAAAGAAACTGCTAAGTCAATCCGTCGCGGTGTGACTCGGTTGATTTCTCGTCTTGACTCGGGATAACTCGGAGTGACTCGGTGTAACTCGGCCGAGTCAATCCGTCGCGGTGACGACTCGGCCGATTTCTCGGCGAGTCAAGTATTTCGGTATCGTTTCGTCACGGTATCGTATCGGTAGAGGCCGAGACGGTGACGACTTGGCCGAGTCATCTCGGTCTCGGCCGAGACTTTGAACCATGTTGAAGACGGCTTGATTCAACATACATATAAAACAGGCAGATAAGAATTAACGCTGCGCAGACGATGTCACACAGGATCACGGTTGCCAGAGATTTGTATAACACGAAACCCCAAAAAATATATATATATATATATTATTTTTACACAAGTACACACACACAGGCACAACTTCGAGGGAATTGATCAGAATGCAGAAAGATCACTAGAAAGAAACGTATGAAGATTGAACTGGAGGGATGTATCATGTATGTATGAAGATTGAAAATTTTTGCCGGTCATCTGGATAATTTTAGGCATTTAGATTAGAAGCCTTGCTAGGTAGGTTGAAATAATTAACGCCATTACTTAAATCGTAATTAAGGCCACTGAATCCATGGATCGGTTCTTTTCTTTTAGCCGTTCCTCTACTCTTTTAAGGGTACTACAGCTTCCAGTTCGCGGCTCCGACAGTACTCTGTTTGTCTATTTTAAGTTTCCATTCATTCATTCTTGTTGTTAGATATTATTATTAAGTACTGCTGTTGAGTTCTTACTGCTTTTTATTGCCTGCCTGCCTATTTGAACTCCGTAACAATGTAGAGACCTACCCTTCTTTATTATTATTATTATTTTTTCTTTTTTTTTTTGGTTGTGGGGGGGGGGGGGGGGAGAGAGAACTACCCATGGAGTACTTCTTTTTTCTAGCCTTTTCATCCCTTAAATGCTAAAAGAAGATCAGAAAGTACACAAAACAGAAATAAATCCCTCGCTGTGTTTAGTTAGATTATAAAAGATTTTGGAATTGCGTCAAATATTATACGCCGGCGAACTCTACCATTTGCAAATTAAGATTCACTGCAGCTTTAAGTTGCAGACACATAACTTTTATATATACATCTGTTGAATGGATTTTTTGCTATAAGACAGACAACAAAAACTAAATGTATTTGCTACTGAAAATTACATGTCCACAAGATTAATCCTCCTGGAACATAGTAGTTCTACTTCTGTATAGACCCTTTGCTGTTCTCTTTTTTTTTTTTTCTTTTTTTGTCGACACAGGGATGTCCGGATCAATTCTTACGGGGCCCGACTAATCTCCTGCGGCCCGGACCCGGCGCCCTAACTCGGCCCGAACACGTTAAGTGTGCAAAGAAATTCAGCAGAGCGGAGACTCGAACTTGTGACCTCAAGGTTCACTGGTGAGAGTTCACGCGGGGCTCCTTTGCTGTTCTCCAGGTTCAACAGTTTTAGAGAACGAAACAAGGTCGTCTGCAATCACAATGGCCTGAATATACAGAGAACAACCTAGCGCCCTGGGCTTCTATATAGGGTTTAGGTAGGAGTGTGCAATTTCCAAAAAAAAAAAAGATTTACCGACTATTTCGATTTGAAATCGGAACTTCGAAATTGGAAAAAATGAATTACAAGTCAAACAGGCCGAATTCATCGAATTTGGTAAACTACCTAATTCCGAAATAAAATTGAAATCGGAATTTATGAATTTGAAATTAAAATCGGTCGAAACTTCCAATATCCAATTTTTTGAAAATTTTGAATTCATAGTTCTGATTTATTGAAATCCAATTCAATGCTCACCCCTACTTTTAGGCTAGTCTCACTTTTTTTTTTTTATTATGTCAATGATGCATTACGTCTCTTCCTTCTCTGGATTTGTTACTGAATTAACTTGTTACTCTATTTGATAGAACATGGGAACATACTTTGAAAGAACGGTGCGTTAGACAAAAATAAGTTAGTACACGTTCCTCTTTTTTTTTTTTTTTTTTAAAAAAACAAACTAAAATATGTTTGTCTTGTCTAGTCAGAATGCCATTTATTAAAAATTACAGTAAATGCCCTATCCAATTGGTCATATCATCATCCAATATACTTCAATTGTAGATTTCAATGAACAGCATTGCCTTTTTTATTATATATATATATTAAAAAAAAAGTAAATTCACAAGTCTCGAGCCGAGCTCTCGCTTGCATTCTTTTCTAGTACCACCCAATTCATTACTTCCCGTCCTCCTCCCTCCCGCATTTCGTATGCTTCATGGAAGAACATAGTTGATTGACTAAATTCTTTAGCGATGGACAACTTTTTGGGAGCTAATAACTGCATTATGTTTTGCGATTGGTGATTGCTTTATTTTGAATTGTAATTAGTCTAAGATCAATTTACAATATATGTATGCTGTTCTACACGGTACAAAATGGCTTAATTTAGAGAAAGATGAACTATAAATCTATAATCAGTATGAGCCTTCATTTAAACTTCAAAATATTGCAGTAAATTTATTTTCTTTTTCTATTTTTCGTTACTAAAATCTCTTAGTTCCACTAGTAGTTAGTTACTGAGTTGGTTACCACTTGAAAATCATCATCAGTAAGATGCCCTGGGCATCTTCAACCACGTCATTTTGATTCCCGGTGACATTTACGGGCTATAACCGGTCACTCTCTCCTCGAATTACGTGTCACTCCGCCATTAGCCCAAATGGATCAATTTATCCTCTTTTGAGCTATAAAAGAAACGGCCCAGAGATCGCCTCCTGACGGCATCCCCATGTGCCTGTCGCCGTAACGGAGTCAGGACCACATGTTCTGTTCAACGCCTTCCATAACCGTCTCATCCAATCTCCACCGTCCGATCACATGACAATTCCACGTTTCCTCTCTCCCTGTCCCCATAATACCCCTGCTCTCCAACAAACCACTACTAACTAATTAACACCCCCCCCCCTTCTTTCCCCCAGGCCACCCAAGTTCCAGCGGCTCCTTTTCCTTCCTCGGCCGAGAGCGAGAGAGAGACTGTGGAGAGAGAGAGAGCAACTCTGCTTGTGTGTGCGTGTTGTGCGTGCGTTTCAAGTCGCTTTTAAGTAAATTTGATTGTGGAAGCTGGGACGGAATATCATTATACCGACGGGTGTACAAATTTAAAGATATTTATTGAGATATACGTATTTATATATATGCGGAAATATATGTATATGTAAAAGACTCAAGGAAGGAAAAAAAAAAAGAGGGAGAGAGAGACTAATTAAAAACAGATGGGAGATTACCTGAGGAAATGTGAGAGATCAATTGGAGAGATGGCAGCAGCAGCGGCTACGGAAATCGGCGGAGAAATTATCAAAATGAGAGCCGTGGAGGAGGAGGAGGAGGTTACCAGCTCCAGTAAGAGACGTAAAGTCGACGATTGTGATGAGGCGCCTGAGCCGCAGCTAAATTTGCCAGCCTATACAGTTTCGGCTTCTGCTGCAAATTCAACGACGACGTCCTCGGCGGCCAACGTCCATGAGGAGAAAATGAGATCCACCGATCTGAAGGTGAAGCTAAACTTCAAATTCAAACTCGTAAAGCATTTACTAATACTGCTACTTCTCTACGTAATAAATTTTTTTTTTTTTTTGGATAGGTTCTGAATTTTTTATTTACTTATCCACATGAAGTTAATTTTTGTGTTTATTGTTGAATTTACAGCACCAGGATTCCGAAACTGAAATTTCCACGCTCATAATCCGCCAATTCAGGTATATATGCACTGAATACAGTTCTTCTCTTCCTTTCTATCTCAAAATTTCGAAACTGAAACCAGCGATCATCTGCTTAAAAGTAACTTTAATTTCAAATTTTAAGTAGAGCTATAATTGTATCTGTATCTGACCTTATTAGTCATCATCCTCCATGTGCATGAGCGTTTCGCTATTCACTGCTTCACATTTAAAAAAAAAAAATTTCTAGCTTTTTTCCACTGATTTGATCATGCATATAATTTGGTAATAGAGAGACGAGTCCGTCAAGTGAGATTTGCGGAGGAGACTCGGGGATAGAGTTGATGGAGTCTATATCGTCAACGACAACAAAGAAGGAGGAGTCTTCTCGGAGAAATCGTCAGGAGTTGAAAACCAAAACTTGCATGCCTTCAGCAGCGGAGATCGAAGAGTTCTTCGCCGTGGCTGAAAAGCGACAGCAGAAACAATTCGCGGAAAAGTAAGTAGTGATTAATGGCAACGTTATAGGTTAGAATCCTAGCAGAGATCAAGGCCAGAAATAATCTCCAATTCTAATAAAAACCTTTCCCAGAGAAGAGCTGCTGCTAAATACGTGTAGTCCCAAAAGAGGAAACCCAACACTCTAAATTTGCTACGCAGTGATGAACACCGAACAATGATAGTCATGTATCATTGATCAGCTTTAACAGTAGCCTAGTAGTACTCGGCCTCTCTCATGAGTCGTTGTTTGTTGTGAATCAGGTACAACTATGATATAGTGAAGGACGTGCCATTGGAAGGCCGGTACGAGTGGGTACGTTTGAAGCCTTAAATTGATCATCAGCTTGCATGATCCAACTGAAATGGTGGAAAACGAGAGGACGCTGGGTTACTACTTACTAGGAGTAATATATCATATATGTTAACATCACACGAGGACGCGCAGGGCCATTGTCTGTCTTCTTTCTTCTTCCCTTTTGTTCTTTGGTTGGTATTATTATTGGGACTTTTATAACTGGTCTTTTAATTAATCAGCTAATTAGTAGATTAATCAATTGGCTATTGTATTGTAGGCCGGATTTGGGGTTCATAGAGTGGTGACATATATGTGTACAGTAGGTTTCTATCCTTATGTAAAGAAGCTGGACTCCTTGATCTTTCCTTTGCCTATTGGAATTGCACTGGTCCTCCTCTCTCAGACTGCTACTACTGAAACTATTACTGCCGCTTTTGAAGAAGCTTCTTTTCCAACCTCCTCCTGTCTAGGAACCATCCGTAATAAATCCACTCTCTTTTTAGAGATATTCATTTAATTTTTAGGCGTCTGTGCTCTGTCTGATCATATGATTTGATCTGATGAATGACCTTTAATTTATCCCCATCCATGGCCTAGTTTTTTTTTTTTTTTTTTTTTTTTTTTTTGGGGTGGGGTGTGGGGAGCCAGGGAGGGGAGAGACTGGTACCTCTATCACAGGTTTACAAATTAAATATTGTTTTTATCATTTTGTATATAATGATTTAATAGCTATTCTTCTTACTTTGTATGTGTGATGTGACATAGAGGGATCGGAGTGGAAATTGGATGAGGGATGGGTGGTGGGTTTCCAAAGTTTTTTAAAAAAATCTTTTGTAGTGGAGTAAAAAAAAAAAAAAAGGGGTCGTATTGTTGGGGCTTACTTTGGCTGTTTACAACTTTACTGATCACCAGTCACCACGCATGCAAAGTGAATCCCACCATTTTCTTCAGTATTCCTTTTTAACAATTATCATGAGATGATTGCATTGGAAGTACTGTACTGCCTTTGGAAGGCCGGCCACAGTTCCCCTGCAGATGTTGGTCATACACCTCCCGGAGGGGAGAGACTGTTTGTGGGGCAATGAGTATTTTGTGGGGGCCATGTGATCTCTTTCGAAGCTTTAATAAGGGAAAATTTTGTTCTTTTCTCTTGGAAATTCTGAAAACGGCCACGAGAAACTAAAGGATTTTACTGTGTAACCGGCGGAATATTTATACGCTCGGTCATCTTGAAAGCAAACATGCGCCATGCGTTCGGCGCTTTCCTATTTGGTAAATGGCTCAGGTTTCAGGTATATTGCCCATTTATGAATGTTACTGCAATTTATTCTTTTTATTTCTTTTTGGAGACCTTTTTGGGCCGAACACAAATTCTCGTGCATTCCTGCTACTATTTAAGTGCATCTGGATGCAATATATAATAGAGGACGGAAACTTCATCATGGAGGTGTTATAACCAGATCTCAGATGAAGGTTTCTGCTTACATTATTTTTTTTCTTTCTCCTAAGCCATAGTCGCTTTTGCACCTTGTCCTCTTACATTATTTTTTTTTCTCAGCTTATTCCCTAAATTGTTAGTCAATTCTAATATCGCGTGATGATGACGTCAAAAAGACATTTATACTCTTAAGAGTTAACTACTGTAAATCGCCTTAAAGTATAGCTTATTTTACACTTTATCCCATAACATCATTTTTCTTTCAATTTATTTGTTTGTTACTAAAATCATTAGTGAAATCCAATATTTGATAACATCCAGCACAATTAATATCTGAAAAACTAATATTCCTAACGAAATAATATCTTGCTTATTTGACTTAATAATGGAAAAAATTAAAAAATTGTTATTTTTTTCAGACTTTTGAAATTAGTTAATTAAACCTAATCCCAGATTTAACCCCAAAAGCCGGCAACTCTTGAGGCAAACCTGAGGACTTAACTACCCAACCCCCCCAACCCCGAAGAAATGATGTGGGACTATGAGAAAGTTAGTAGAGCAGCCTCTACTATGCCTTTAAAAAATTGTTATTAAAAAATTAAAAACATGAAAATATTTTAAAAATCTAAAAATGACCGAGATATTGTCAGTATCTCTTTGTGAATGTGCCTACAACTAAACTTTTCTCGTTTTTTCTAGAAAAATGGTGTTTGCACTCTTATTTTTCTTAATTATACATTCATACTCCCACTATTATTTTAATCATATAGTTTTCATTTACTATGCTATATCATAAAACAAATGGTGAGAGTGAAAATAACAAAAAATGGAGTGCAGATAACATTTTACTTTTTATATGAAAGTATGCATTTTCTTTTGTTGATGATACTAAAAAAAGATAAATATGGTTGATTTGGAGTTCAAAGTTTCTAGAGTTGTTCTTTTAACATACCATGCTTAGATGCTATTAAAATTTATTTGGATTGTTAATTTTTTTAAAAATTTTTACTGCATCTAAACACGTTTTTCAATCATCTTTTTATTTTTTTTCAACTGCTTTTTATCTCACAAATATCAAATTGAAAAAAGTGCTATTATTCTAAAAAATTTTCCAAATGATCTCCAATCCAAATAAACCTATCTATAAACTTTTAATAATATTTTCATAATTTAGTTTTGCACTAATATTTTTGCCCTTAGCACGTGAGATGAGCGAGATATTTTTCTGTATTTAAAAAACTTGTAATTATGGGGATAAAATTTAACAAGACCTATATCCATATATATATATATATATATATATATATATATATATAATAGTTTTATAATTATGTTAGGGATATTAATTTGTTTAAACATTATTTTTATTGAGCGGTATAAAATATTAAAGTTGACTAATGGTTTCAGGGATAAATAGACAAATTAATAGAAAATTCATATTAGAGGATAAAGTACAAAATGGCTATGCCTTAAGGGATTTATTGTAATTAACCCTTAGGGGTATCAATAATATTTTTTGACATTTTTGTATGCAATATTAGAGTTTACTAATGATTCGGGGGGTAAAGTAAAAAAAATAATGTTACGAAGTAAAGTGCAAAACTAGTTAAACTTTAACAGGAGTTTTTATGATTAACCCTTATGCTTAGGCACAAATAAATTTACACTACTGTCTTATGAGCACATTGGTACGCTTCAAATGGTCTAGGAAACCATAAACAAGACATGCATATTAATAAGCACAAAATTTAAGCGTCATATACTTAGGAATAGGTGACAAGTAGCTTATAAAAGCAAATACACCCCTTGTTTCTTCTTGGATTCATTTCATTTATCTTCCCTAAAGTTTGATCAAAATGCAAATAGAACCTTGAGGGTTGACCATATAACAGTCACCCCCTTGTCATTAACACTGCGTAAGCGTATGAAACAGAATCAATAAAATAACATAACTGCCCATGTATGAAATTCTAAACTAGCATTGCAAATGAGAGTCAAGTGGAATATTCCTAAGTACTAAAATTCAAAAAATAAGCAATCAATTGGTATCATCCAAATATTTTAGGGGAGATTAGCAAAACTTATACAAGAATAAGGAAAAAAAATAAGGAAACAAAATCAACAACTACAAGCCAAAGAATTAAATCTACAAGATGGCTCTAGAATAACCAATCAATAATTTTTGAAGAAAATTTTCCAAAATAACAAAAGACAGCATGTCTTGCCAGAAAAATGGAAAGAAATTTTCCACTAGACCACCATTAATGTTTTCGAAACAGGGCCTAAGACATAAATTGTTGAACATGTTATCTAAAGAAAGAATAAGATGAAGAAGGCCGATTTGGGCTCGTGGGTAATATAAGGCTTTTGAAATCGAAATAAAGGACCTTACTGTAATATGGTCAAACCTTGAGATTTAATATGTAATTTGGTCAAGCCGAAGGTAAATGCAATTAAAACCCCCCCCCCCTTCTTCTTTTTTTTTTTTTTCTGTTTTAGCTAAGTAGATTTAGTTGAACTGGACAATCAGCGGCAAGGATTTTGCTGTGGGAGTAGAACTATACCTCCTAGCTTGGGAGTTTAGGCAAGTTATGTGGAAAAATGAAAGGGTACAAAATATGGTAGTTTGTCTCTTTTTATTGAAGAGTTCGGCAAAGGAATATGGTGTGTTTTGGATTATTTGTGTGGACATCTTTCTCTTCAACATTAATGTATAGGTCAAATTGGCATTTTGATTTTTTTATTCTTTTTATAAATGAGAGGTTTTGAACCCAAAACCTCTTGCTTACAAGTTGCAACCTCTCTCCCTTACCATTCAATTCAATCATCCCTACATTTTGGAAGTTTAATACTCCCTCCGTCCCACTTTAATAGTCCGATTTTCCTTTTCGTCTGTTCCAAATTATAGTACACGTTCCAATTGAAAAATGTAGTTCTTTTTTTAATTTATCTAAATTACCCTTATTTAATGTAGGTTATTATTAGTATAAACTATTTTATTCAATATATATTTTTAACCTACTCCATTTAATATAGTTAGATTTTTCAAAACATATTGATATATGAAAAGCCAATTTTGTTATTCTTTCAAGCTTATATCAGTAGGGAAACAAATGATGTCATCATTGTCTACAAAGCTTGAGTGAAATTTTGAAAAACCATCAATTCTTTCTTTCTTGACCATCAATTCCAGTTTTCATAAATAATTAATATAAAGTTGTACTCTATTTAATGTAAGTGTATTTTAGAATTATAGCAATCTAAATTTATTTTTTTAACTACTTTTTTTTTTTAAAAATCGTGTGAAAAAAACTAGGACTATCAAAATTGGACGGAGGGAGTAACCTTTAATTTGATAACTTTTTATCTTTGTCCACAATTAGATAAAACATATTGCAACATTTTCAATTCTCTTATCTCTTTGTCTCCGCTCAAAACTCCCAATTTAAGAAAAGATCCACACTTTTTTTTTTAAAACTATCTATAAACATCTCCCTGCATAATAGATAGGCCAACCTGCGGATGAACAATGCAAAAGCACGAAGAGTGGCATTGGCCATGAAGGTTGATGCTGGAAAAGTAAGTCATATAAAGTTTCAATATTCAATACTACCACATTGTATGGAAATGCATGTGATGGTTACTTGCAGGGTCCCCTCCTTTTTTAGTGCTCCCCAAATAAAAAGATCCCATTTTTTTTTTTAACAGTTCAACAAGAAGTGCTAGTTTCAAAATGCAGAGATTTAGGTTCAAGCTGGAGGATGGACCGAGGCAGGAGGCCCATAGGTGGGAGGAGGCATGTTGGATGGTGCACGTGCCGTGTTGGAATATGGGAAGGCACTTATTCCCTCCCTCTAATTATTACTACTAATATACGCCTGACTTCCATGTGCTTTGGATCTGATGCCCAGAGTTTTATAAGCACGAGAGGAAGGAAGCGAGGAAGGGAAGAAAGAGTAATAACACTATGTTGGTAATGGAGGTAGTAGTTAATTCATTCATTGTACGGGCAGTTTA